TATATATATTTGTATTTTCTAATATATATATTTCTAATACATTTATTCATATAATAAAAATCTTATTCTTGATAATTAATAAATACCTTCATGAATATATAACATGTCACGAATCATTACAAATTTACTAATACATATTTAAAAGATTATTCATTAAAAGAAAACAATAATGAATAAATTTAAATTTTAATTTAGGAATTATCATTTTATTTCTTTTATAAATTGTCGAATTTCTAATTTAAATTAAATAACGAAAAAGGTTATTTATAAAAAATTATTTATAAAAATAATTATTTTAATTTATAATAGTTAAATATTATTATTTATGCTATATATTTTAATATAAGCAATCTTTATATAATTTAATGAAAGAATTTAATTTATAATTAATTTTGAAAAAATATATAAATGATATTATATACGCACATATGAGATATTTGTATCCGCTGGATCAGACATAATAACTATAATATATTATTTACACAATTTTTATAAATATTTTTATAAATACATTAAAAATTAATTATTTAATAACTATTTATTATATTGTTCAAATCAAAGAATAAATGATATTTTATGTTCAGGATTTATTACTTAACTAGATTGTGGAACAGTTTTAAGACTTTGATATATTACATAGTATATGATAAAACAATTTCGATATAAGAACAGTGATTACAGATAGTTACGTATATGAATATATTTTACACATAAATATTTATTACTTGAAATATTCATAACATTTGTATTTAAATTATAATTTAAAAATATTTTTTTTTATTTGAATACATGATGTATATTATTTGAAAATAATTTAAAAACATGTAATTTAATTTTAATCATTAATAAAAGAATATCTATATTTATAATTATATTTTTATATTTTTTTAAAGATTTTATATATATATATATACGATATTTTTAATATAAAATATATTACAAACAATATTATAAAAAAAATATAAAATTGTAAATTGTTTAGATTATTTTATATTTTATATATATTTACAAAAAGAATAGTATTAGTATTATATACAATATTAGTATTAGTTTTATATTACACATTTTACACATATTAGTATTACATAATTCCATATCATGATAAATATACTTATATATGTAATAAATACATATAAATAAATTAATTTTTATATACACATTAATTTATTAAATTGACAAGAAATTGAAAATATTTATTTATAAAAAATATAAGAGTTAATAAAAAAATTATAATACTTTATTATATAATTAAAATATAATGAAATAATTTTATCTATAATATTGTAGGATTATAATTATATATTGTATATAATATATATATATAATTGCATAATATTATCATATATGCATCTATGTAAGTAGTGACATCTTTAAAATTGTTACAACTTGTAGGTTAATTGACAATAAAGGTTAGGTATATTAAGTGTTGACAAACAACATGCGGTTAATTTGCAACATGATTGTATATTTTATTTATTGTATTATTTTATAATTATATTTTGCTTTGATTTTTACTTTTGATTGATACTTGATATTTGATTTTATATTTCAATGGCAGTTTTGCATCGTGCATTATTTACGTGGTTCAATCTTTTGATATTTCTGATTTTACTTGTTTTGAGACTTGATCAAAGAATACAATGGAATTGGTTCATAGTTTTTATTCCAATGTGGTTGTACGATCACATACTTTTGGTTTATATTGTTTTCAATATGATTTCTCATTGTAAAAATGGACGAGTTGTTAATTTACGTCGAGAAGTAAGTTAAACAATAAAGTTAAAAAAACTTAAAATAAGTTAAAAAAAAATATTATTTTTTGATATCCAATTTTATTTTAGTAAAACCATTAAAAATAATTATATATATATATATACAAATATTATTATTTTATTTATTAATAAAATTTATATTATTATTATTAAAAATGAAAAAAATTTTAATATATAATGTTTTATTTTTTTGTATAAATAAAAAAAAGATATTGCTTATTATTTTACTATGCAATTTAAAAAAAAATGACATTATTAAATTCAAATTTATATATTAAAATAAAAATTTAAATTATATCATTTAATTATTTTTTAGTTATTTATAAGAAGATAAGATTATAATATTATTTTTTAATTTTAATTATTTTTTATATAATGTTTAATGTATGAAGTGTCAAATTTATGAGTTTATATAATAGAACTAATCATTTTGATGAAATTAAATATTTATTTTTTATGAAAACTGAAAATAATTTTTTTTTAGGTATGGTATATGACAGCTGTATTTATGAAATTAAGCGCTCAAATTTTAATATGTTTGAAATTAGAAGCACCTCATTGGTTTCTACCAGCAAAAGTTGTTTTGGCACCATTTTGGATTCTTCTTCCTGCATTAGCAGTTGATGTTTTTGTACATCTGATACATCATTATCGATATTAACTATGAACTATAAATCATAGTTAATTCCTAAATATTATGGTAAGTGTAAGTAATTTTAATTTGTATATATATTAATAATATATATTAATAATCAAGTCATAGGTAATTCCAAAATATAATAATTATATATATATATATATATATATATATATATATAATATATAATAATAATATTAATATAATAATATGTAATATTTATTACATATCATTTATTTTTCATTTATTTAATTTATTATTATTTAATATAATTTATTTCTCTTACATTTAATTGAATTGAATTAAATTAAAAGAATTTAGATTATAAAAAATATATAATTTATTTAAAGTTTCCTCTGTTAATTAAAAAATATATTTTATATAATGTGTAATATTTTATTATAAATTGTATATATTTATACAATTTATATACATATTATATAATAATTAATAGATATAATATGTATAAATTTCCTTGATATTAGGTTTTATCTTACATATCAATATTCTTTCAATAGCTTCACTTGAAATAGTAATGTATATTATGTACTTTATATATGTATGATAGTCACAAGATGCCAGTCTAGCTTACTATAAATACTCTGTTGCACAAGGATGAATAGGACAAAGATATAAATAAGTAACTCTAAAGTAGCTTCATTATTAATGTTTCTTTCATTATTCATAAGATTATCATCATTTATAGGTTGTGATTTTAATATTAGTATATTTAAAATAAAATATAAAATAAATAACAGTGAAAAATTACAAAGAATTGATATACATAGATATCTATAGCTATGCAATATGTTTCATTGAGTGTTTTTTATTTGCATTGTGTATAGAATAATTATTCTAACAAACATCTGTCATATACAAAACTAGTCACATTAATAGAATTTTTAATTTAATAGAATTTTAAATTTCATTTTAAATAGTGGAAGTAAAATGTAATTGTTTTATAATAAAGCATAATGCTAGCAATATAAAACATTTTATTAATTTAATTGATAATGATATAAATAAGTTATATATTATTTTTACATTTTTGCTATGATTCTACTTTTTTAATGTGAATGTGAAAGTTATCAATTTATAAAATAAATAATAAAAAATTTATTGTGATTCATTCTTATATATATATATATATATAGTACTGAATTTTTAATAATGGATAACATACAACAGGTAGAATAATCAAATATATTTTGTATATATATAAAATTAAATATTTGTATAATTTTTATATATTTATATTTAAAAAATTAAAGTACATGATTTAAATTTAATTTTCATTAATATTTTCACTTATATTTAAATAAATGTATTCTATTTTATTTTTATTAATAATCTTGATTTATTGTAATTATATTTTATAGATAACTGTGGTTAATTTCATATTTATATATTTATCATTATTGCTAAAAAAGGAAGTTTATGGAGTTAGTACAGTTACAGTAACAGAAGTTCCAGCTGGTCATTTAGCTGAACTTCCATGTTTAAGTAGTGATGATTATCATCGTTTTATGTTTTGGCAACTTAAAGATGATCATCATATCATTGGGCCTGGCAATCCAATGGATGAAAACAAGTATAATTATGAAGTGTTAACAGGAAAACTCTTCATCAAGGTAATTAATTAATAAATTCTATGAATTTTTTAATATTTTAATAGATTATATTTTATTAGAGCGTATCAACAGCTGAATCTGGTTTCTATAGATGTATTTCAAAAGGTATAGCAGATCATTCTGCTATCAATATACATAGTGTTGAATTAGTAGTTAAGAAAGATTGGGAAGATGTTTGGGAAAATGATTTTGAGGTATATCAAAATATTTCTAATTTTTTTTTTTCACTATTTATTTTAAATATTTTCTACTTCTATTTTACAGACAAATTTATTACGAGGTATGGCTGCTGTTATGGTAGTAGTCGTTGCTATAGCAATTGTTCTTTTTATTATTACTACAAAAAGAAAACGTAATCACAGATTTTTTGGTAAATATTATGAATATTTGCATTAATAAAACAAAATATAAAACAAAAGATCACATTCTTATGATCAATTGACATAAATAATTGTAGATTTAGAAGAATCAAGAGAAAATTCCCCTGAAAAATACACACCAAATGTTAATGCTGGTCCTGCAGTATCTGCACCAACAATTGAAGTTGGTGGTATTGATAATACAGCTCTTGATATTGATTTTCCAAGAGTGTTTAAACAAATGCAAAAATAAGATATAAATAAAATAAAAAAATAATTTTATAGTATTAAAAAAAAATGTATAGTATGATATAAATAATATATGTAAAAAATATACATAGTCATATTTGTTTATATTAAATTGTATTAGCAATTAAATTAGCAATTATGCTAATAAATGTGTCATGAATAATCATATTTAATAAGTTATAAAATTTTAATTAAATAATATTTTATACATAAGATTTCGTAATATATTGTATATAAATTATTATACATAATGTATGTACATATAAAATGATTAAATTGCTTAATTCATTATTTTAATATATATATATATATATATTAAAATCTAATATAGTACTTCTTATATATTTTTATCACGTTTGCATTATTTAATATTTTTTTTAATTTATATTAATTATACTTATCATGTGTATATATTTATTGAGAATTTGGAACTGTTCCATGACTAGTATCCAACAAATTATCATTAGTTCCATCTTCTTCTTCTTCTTCATCTTCTTCATCTTCAGGTTCAACTTCAGTTTCTAATAATCTTATTTTCCTATTACTTTCACTTAAAACAGCTGCTACTTTTCGTGCACCACTAACTGCTATTTTTTTAGCAGATATACCTTGAAAAGGCCGTGGCCAGCTATTATTTAAAAGATCAGCTAAACTAATTAAATTTTTATCTTGATTTCCAAAAATTCGGATGTGATTTATTGGTAATTGTACAAGATATGAGGCATGTGTTTGTTTACTTAGTAAAAGTAAACTAAGATATTCATTAGAATAAAATTGAAGATCAATTACAGTACAATCTGTGTAATTTTTAGAATATGATTCTACAATAAAGAAAAGAATATTAATTTAAAAATTAAAATATATATATTACATATATTCATAATAAAACAACAAACCTGATTTATGATCTGTATTAATTATAGCTAATTTAAAACTGAGAGAAATGGGTTCTGTATATAAACACTCAATTTTAAATAAACGTAATATTTTATGATCTAAATCACATGTAGCTACTAATAAACCATCATCATTTGTTGTAATTTGTGATGATGTAAATCCTATAGATGGTACCAAAGCAATATTTGATATAGTAAAATGTTCAACTAATCCTTGATAAGCTTCGCGAAAAACATTATGTATAGCAGTAATCAATTTTGCATGAGATTGTAATAAAGAATAATTAAGATCTTGCTTCACGATAAGCGGGTGATCACGAAGACAATGATTTTCATCGAGCATTGTAGCCCACTCGCTTCCTTCAGGAGTTAAACAAGTTTGTAAATTTTCACGTCGTAAATATTGACCTAACTTTTCTAAATTCACTCCCTTTCTTCCTCCAATACCGGGCTCAGTTTTATCAAAGCCGCGTAAAAATTCAGCAATAAATGTTAACTCTTGTTGACTAACACGACTTACTTCAGATGGTATTCTTTCATCTGTCAATCTTAAAATTACGACATATAACCACCTTAAATAAAAAATATGTATAAAAATTAAAAAAATATTATTGAAAATTTTAATTTTTAAACATACCGAAAAAATGCTTTATAATCACGCATACTATGATCTATAACTTGTTGAATTTCAGAAGATTTTGCTAAAAATGCTTCTGATGCATGAAGAGCATTAGTTATGATGGTTTCATCAGTGAGTCCCAATAATTCATATGGACCACCTAATCTGATCATTCCTCTCATTTCAGCTAATTGATATACTAAGGCCATCCCAACACTAGTTAAGTTTTTTAAAACTAATTTCTATAAAATAAAAATGAATTATTATGTTGAATATAATATAATATGAATAATATGTAATGAATATAATAATAAAAAAAATTAAATTTCTGTATCATACCTGTATATTACTATAGCACATTTCAATACTGTGTCCTAATTTTTTTAAACCTTTTTCAGTTAAATCACGTAACAAAAAATTTTCTAAATTTTGAGTAGGTATTCCAATCATTAATAATTCTAGGAAATCTGCAGCAACTCCACCAGGGGGATTTGTTTCTGCATATCTTGCAAGTTTTTCATCCATTTCTAGAAGAATTGTTTCCCAAGCTTCAGATATTGCCATTAATGTACGTGAAAGATAATCCATTAAATATTCAATATTAGCTTGAGCTTGTGCTACCTTAAATTTGAAAAAATCTTATGAAAATTAATATTATTTTAAAATATAATTTTTGAAAATGTATTAAATACCTTTAAAAATGCTGTACTTTGTTCTAATAATGGACACCATAATCTACATGTTTTAATACCATTTTTATCTTTCCATGTAATCCACATTGATTTACCAAATCCACCACTAATTTCTAATATTTCACCATGACCAACAGAAATTGTACCACAATAAAACATTCCAAATACATACATAGCAACATTTCCATCATCTAAACCAAGCTATAGAAAATATAATTATATATATAAATGATCATAATTTTATATATACATATATCTTAGTATTATGAAATATATAATATTAAAGCTTACAAAAAGTACATCTAAAGTTTGAGATAAAAATTCTTTACGTTCTGGTTCTTGACCAAAACTTCTATTTAAACTAGGTAAAGGTGGAAGATATTCTCCAGTTGGTTGCATATTTGTTTTGTTACCATTTAATGAAGTATTGTTTTCTGTATTTGTTAATGGTAACCACATCATGCATGTAATTGTATTGTGTAACATTAGTTTTGTTTTATGTATAATATTTTTATTTTCAATATCTACAAGACAGACTAATTTAGAAGTTTCATAACAAATTGCTAAAAGTTTTCCATCTGGTCTCCATGCTAAATTTACAACAGTATCAGATTCTTCTTGAG